TGTTTTAATCTCAGCCCTTCGGGGTCTCATGCACACAAATGTGGCATCTATTCTATAGGTTGTCACAGATGTGTCCTGCATTTCACTGAACTGCTTCTCTGGCAACTGCCTAAATATGTAGACCACACTCTTTTGCATAATCAGCATATGTGCTATGATTCTGACTCTCAAAAGACAAAATTAGTTACAGATTAACTGGTTTTTATTTGTGATTCATGAACTGAGGTAGCAAAATAGAATGAGAACTCCCGGTGGGCAGTAGAATAACAGTGGGTTTCATAGGTAGAGACAAGGAAAAAGAACAATAGGGGAAAAGCTGACTGGTTAACATCAGGTTACTTACTTATCAGGGTGAAAGCAGAGAGGACTTACTTATTACTCTGACGCAAATACACTGAGGTCTCCTGCTCTCAGGAAACACTGGTCTGTTAGGAGATCTGCTTCCTTGAAGTTTCAGTTTGATCACGTAGCATTTAGCTTAGTAACTCTATGATGATTTGGATGTGAGGTGTCCCCAAAAAACTCATGTGTGAGACAAGGCAAGAAGACTTAGAGGAGAAATGGTTGGGTTATGAGAGTCTTATCCCAATCAGTAAATTAATCCCCTGATGGGATTAACTGAGTGGTAACTGAAGGCAGGAAGGACGTGGCTGGAGGAGGTGGGTCACTGGGGGCATGCCTTTGGGATATATATTTTGTATCTGAAGATGGAGTCTCTGTCTGCTTCGTGATCATCATATGAGCCATTTCCCTCCATCACGCTCTTCCGCCATGATGTTCTACCTCACTTCAAGCCCCAAGGAATGGAGCCAGTTGTCTTGGACTGAGACCACTGAAACTGTGAGCCCCCAAATAAACTTTTCCTCCTCTGAAATTGTTCAGGTCTTGCCTGAACTAGATGACAGCTGCTCCTGAAGATCTAGAGGATCTAGGGTCAAACACTAGTCCAGTGCCCTCTCTCAAGTTTTGGCACACGCCCGAAGGATTCCATTCTCATGTTCTGGTATCTGCTTCATGGAAMTAGTTTATTTTTACCCATCCTGAGAAAATTCTTCCTTTCTATTCAACTTTGATCCAAGCATGAATTTGCTGTGATTTCCAAAAAAATTATTTATACAATACTGTTTTTCTTCACAATGGAGAGGGGGCAAATTGTGCCTTGGCTTCACCAGACCCTAGCTGTCAGGTAACCCTCTCTGTGTCCTTCTCCTCATTCTCATGTTTACTTTGATCTATTTTCCTTAACATAAATGGCTTCATTCTGAGAAGGATTCTCATATCAGCTTTTTGGATACTTTTCTCCCCTTGGTATATTTTGGATCTCATTCTTCTGTTCACTTTGCTTTCAAATTTTTTCCGTTCTTCTCTGCCCCCACCCCCAATTTCTTCCCCTCCTCCTCTACTTGCCCTACATAAACTCAACATGCAGCTTTATACTTAAGCCTTTTCCTTCCAAAGGCAGCCTCATGGTTGTCCCTGAGAGGGGCACAACTTCCCCACACTGCAACTGAAGGAGCTGCTGGGGAGGATCTGCACTTCACATAGGGTTTTATAACTGGAGGGGTCTGGGGACTTTCTCCCTGCCCATACTCTAGCATAGTCCTGTGCTAGCAGCTAGAACCCCACAATTAATTCTTTCCAAGTTTGTTCTGCAGCCTTTCCTTAAGACTTGTTTTGCACTCTAATCTTTCAATTGCTGGGTTAAGGTAAAGAAAAGTGAGGTACAGGTTTAACTTGCAGACTTCTTAGAAAAGCAGAAAAGATGAAGAAAAAAAATTTCAAGTTTTACAGGATGCCATAGAGTTTTATAGAGATACCCAAAAAATGGCCTGTATCACCACTACCCCTTTTTAGGGATCCTATCTTGCCTTTGGGGGTAGGGGGATTCTTTCTCTTTTTGAATATAATTTTGAAAGTGCTGATCATTCTCCCAGTCCTTCCTGTTGTTAGTGTTAAAAAAAAAATACTGTTTCTGTTAAACATAGAAGAAACTGACTTCCTCTCTCCCATAACTATTTTACTGTTTAAATCTCCATACTATTGACTGCAGGACTCACTAAGCTGGTGGTGGTTGCTTTTCATAGTTCTGGATTGAACAACCTGTCCCTGCATTCTTTCAGAATTCTACTTGAGTTGCCTCTGTGCTGGAATCTTCTGATGATATGTTCCCTCAGCAACATAGGCAGCTACAGTTTTTAGTGACTAAATTCCAGTATTTTTTTTCCTACTCAGTTCTCATTTCTGAGTGGTTAACAGCTTTTGGAAAATAAATCACTGTCTTTACCCTCCCAGAATTTGAGCAGGCACATTTCAAAAACTATATCTTCATGAAGATTTTAGGGGAAACATAAAATCAGAGGTCTGAAAGGAACTTGGCTAATATTGACCTCCTACATGGGACTGAAGCTGATGAAATGAGAAGACTGTGTGGAACAGTGGAGGAACACTGGGCCAGAAAAAGAAGACAGCTGTGATTCCTGTTGCGTGAACTTGAGCAAGTCATTCTTTTGAACCTGCAGATCCCATTCTGCAGAATGGGGAGACTGGGATCTACCTTCCCASCATGGCATCCCCCCCACCAGCCAATCAGATGCCTTTGTGCAAAATATAAAAAGCCACCCCTACAGTGTGGACGTAGCCCTGTGTGCATATAGTTAAGTAAAGGAGCACAAGCTAAATAACAGCCCATGCTTGCCCCTCAGCCAGGTGCACTGGTGCAGAGCGTAGCCTGAAATTCTGTGCAGCAGCCAGGAAACCCTACCCATCTTCATCATTAGGAGCAAGCCTACAGGAGGGACARCATGAGAGCCTGCCTAGTAGTTTGGCAAGAACTTAGCACCTTTTAAGAAGGTGCCTGCTTTCTTGACTTGAACTAGTCTTGCTTTTACACTATGTTTTCATGACATCATTAACAATGTCATATTAACATATTAGCCCAAGGGTGGCACTCTTGGAGAATGTGCTCAGGGAAGAACATTCCTTTCCCCTGCTTCTCTCTACTTCTCTTTCTCTAGCCTCATTTCTTGTTTTATGCATAAGCTATGGGAAACAGCAAGCTTTGTACCTAAAAARCTTGTACTTATTACCTAGGACAAAGTCATACTGGGATCCTTTTGACTTATTCCTAGAAATTCAGTAAAATGAAAGAAGAAACATGGACTCTGGATCCAGATGATTCTGGCTATAGATGACATGAGTCAAGTTGCTTCACCTGAGCCCATGCCTCAGTGTCTTCATCTGCAAAATGGAAATAATKAGTACCTGCCCCATGACATTATGAGAATAGGGACAGTCACATACTAAGCACCATATAAGTTTGCTGTTGTCAACAATCTTCATCTTCATCCTAAGAGAGATGTCCTCGACACCCAGGCCCATACAACCCTGAGCCAAAGGACTGGTGGCAGCTCTGGATTCATTCACTTTCTCAGCAAATATTTACTAATGGTCTCCTGTGTGACAGTGCTTCCCTAAGTGTTGGATGCTTCACTCCACTGACAATTTCGTACTTCTGTGGGCTGAGATGCTAGTTCCCTCATCCCTAGTTTGTGGTCACCTACCATGCCTAGCAGTCCACTTTACAATGGGTTCAGTTTCTGCCTCTCTAGTCAATGTAAAAGACTTGGACATGGCAACATCGTGAGATACCTTACTCTTGCAGAATCACCAAACACTGGATTTCCCACCATTTGACATCTTCAAGTACAAGTAGACTTCTCCTGAATTATTAATTCCACATGTCATTGCTGTATAGTCCTCAGTTATTATTCTTCCTTGGAACTGTTTGCTAATTGTTCAGATTGTTCCACTTAAATGGGCTTCTTCATGGATATGATTCCTCCAGGTTCATTCAAGGTATATTCTGCCTCATCCTACCTCATCTTCAAAAAGGGCCCTTCTCTTTCTCAAATTGCAGTCTTGACATTCTTGTAGCATAACATTGTTTTCAACTACTTAAAGCATCAGTAGAGGGAGAGAGATTCTCAATATTGTATGAAAAGCTAGCAAATTTAGATATAATTATTTTTCTATTGAACACTTCCAACTTCTTTCATCTCTCTCTGAAGAAATGATTAGTATAAAAACTTAACAAACATGGGCACAGTGATGCATGCCTGTAATCTCACTGGTTTGGGAGGCTGAGACCAGAGGATTGCAAGTTCAAAGCCAGCCTCAGCAATAGTAAGGTGCTAAGCAACTCAGTGAGACCCTGTCTCTAATAAAAGACAAAATTGGTCTGGGGGTGTGGCTCAGTGGTTGAGTGCCTGTGAGTTCAATCCCTGGCACCCCCMAAAAAAATTAATAAAACTTTTATTATATAAAGCCATTTATATTAATTTTTGAATAAAAACCAGAATGTGAGTAGAAAGAAAAAGGGAAACAATAAAGTTAGAATTTTTTCCATATTTCTTCTTTCCAATTCTTTTACTACTCATATATAAAATAATATAATATTGGGAGCCATCTAACTCAAGATTACATCTGATAAGGAAATATACTTTCCAGACCAATGACTGATTTTTCCACTGTCTGGTGAGAGAAGAGATACAAATTAGAGGGCTGGGGATGTGGCTCAACTGGTAGCACGCTCGCCTGGCATGCGTGCTGCCCGGGTTCTATCCTCAGCACCACATACCAACAAAGATGTTGTGTCTGCCGAGAACTAAAAAATAAATATTAAAAAAAAAAAGAGATACAAATTAGAAATATATATATGAAGATTCTCTAAATAGTCACTTTGTTATAACTTGTTCAATATCTTCAAAAAAAATTGCTGTTTTATGTCACAGCTTACATATGAGAAATAAAGTCAGATATTTATTTCATTTTTTTCCAACATATGAGCTAAGAGCAAAATGCTGGTGCTGGAATTGAGCATTATATTCTCCAGGYGGAGGAAACGGACATTTATTGGATGATATTGCTCCTTTCTTGGCACTAATGACATTAGGAAAGCTCTTAGAGTAATATAATTTGAACATATTATTTCTGTGTTTCAGGTCATGCAGGACAAGATAATCTGCCTTCCGAAAAGAGTGCAGCCTGCTCAGAACCACACTTCCGTTTCGAATGTGTCTCAAGCCGTTGCCAGTACCACCCCACTGCCTCCACCTAAACCATCTCCCGGGAACCCTGCCACTGTGGAAATGAAAGGACTGAAGACAGACTTGGACCTGCAACAGTACAGTTTCATAAACCAGATGTGTTATGAGCGAGCCCTCCACTGGTACGCCAAGTATTTCCCTTACCTTGTGCTCATCCATACCCTGGTCTTCATGCTCTGCAGCAACTTTTGGTTCAAATTCCCTGGCTCCAGCTCCAAAATAGAACATTTCATCTCCATCCTGGGGAAGTGTTTTGACTCTCCCTGGACCACACGGGCTTTATCTGAAGTGTCTGGGGAGGACTCTGAGGAAAAGGACAACAGGAAGAACAATATGAACAGGTCCAACACCACCCAGTCTGGCCCCGAAGGCAGCCTGGTYAACTCTCAATCTCTAAAATCAATCCCTGAGAAGTTTGTGGTTGACAAATCTACTGCAGGGGCTCTGGATAAAAAGGAAGGTGAGCAAGCAAAGGCCTTATTTGAGAAGGTGAAGAAGTTCAGGCTGCATGTGGAAGAAGGTGATATATTATATGCCATGTATGTTCGCCAGACTGTACTGAAGGTTATCAAGTTCCTAATCATCATTGCATATAATAGCGCTCTGGTTTCCAAAGTCCAGTTTACAGTGGACTGTAATGTTGACATTCAGGACATGACTGGATATAAAAACTTCTCTTGCAATCATACCATGGCACACTTGTTCTCAAAACTCTCCTTTTGCTACTTGTGCTTTGTAAGTATCTATGGATTGACGTGCCTTTACACCTTATACTGGCTGTTCTACCGTTCCCTAAGGGAATACTCCTTTGAGTATGTCCGCCAGGAGACTGGAATTGATGATATTCCAGATGTGAAAAATGATTTTGCTTTTATGCTTCATATGATAGATCAGTATGACCCTCTCTATTCCAAGAGATTTGCAGTGTTCCTGTCCGAAGTCAGTGAAAACAAATTGAAGCAGCTGAACTTAAATAACGAGTGGACTCCTGACAAACTGAGGCAGAAGCTGCAGACAAATGCCCATAATCGAYTGGAATTGCCTCTTATCATGCTTTCTGGCCTTCCGGACACTGTTTTTGAAATCACAGAGTTGCAGTCTCTAAAACTTGAAATTATTAAGAATGTAATGATCCCAGCCACCATTGCACAGCTAGACAATCTCCAAGAGCTCTCTCTCCACCAGTGTTCTGTCAAAATCCACAGCGCAGCACTCTCTTTCCTGAAGGAAAACCTCAAAGTTTTGAGCGTCAAGTTTGATGACATGAGGGAGCTGCCCCCCTGGATGTATGGACTCCGGAATCTGGAAGAGCTCTACCTGGTTGGCTCTCTAAGTCATGACATATCCAAAAATATTACCCTTGAGTCTCTGCGGGATCTCAAAAGCCTTAAAATCCTCTCTATCAAAAGTAAYGTCTCCAAAATCCCTCAGGCAGTGGTGGATGTTTCCAGCCATCTCCAAAAGATGTGCATCCATAACGACGGCACCAAGCTGGTCATGCTCAACAACTTAAAGAAGATGACCAATCTTACAGAGCTGGAACTGGTCCACTGTGACCTGGAGCGCATTCCCCATGCCGTGTTCAGCCTGCTCAGCCTCCAGGAACTGGACCTGAAAGAAAACAACCTGAAATCTATAGAAGAAATTGTGAGCTTCCAGCACCTGAGAAAGCTAACAGTGCTGAAACTGTGGCATAACAGCATCACCTACATCCCCGAGCATATAAAGAAGCTCACCAGCCTGGAACGACTATCCTTCAGTCACAATAAAATAGAGGTGCTGCCTTCCCACCTCTTCCTATGCAACAAAATCCGATACTTGGACTTATCCTACAATGACATTCGATTTATCCCACCTGAAGTTGGAGTTCTACAAAGTTTACAGTATTTTTCCATCACTTGTAACAAAGTGGAAAGCCTTCCAGATGAACTCTACTTCTGCAAGAAACTTAAAACTCTGAAGATTGGGAAAAACAGCCTGTCTGTACTCTCACCAAAAATTGGAAATTTACTGTTTCTTTCCTACTTAGATGTCAAAGGCAATCACTTTGAGATCCTCCCTCCCGAACTCGGTGACTGCCGGGCTCTGAAGAGAGCTGGTTTGGTTGTGGAAGATGCTCTGTTTGAAACTCTGCCTTCTGACGTCCGGGAGCAAATGAAAGCTGAATAACTTATTTTTCATCAGAGTTTGACTGAAACACGCTTCTACCAAATACAGTATAAGTAATTAGGTAGTCTTAATGCCTTTCCTATTTTATTTTATTTTTTTTTCTTTTTCACACGAAACAAAAAATGTACACAAAGATTGAGTAAGGAGTATGTATTTTTTAATAAAATTTTAATTGTATTTTTTCAATATTAATATTTTAAAGTTTTATTTGTCTTGGAACCTAATGTATCTATTATTGTTTTCTACTGACAGAAACAGATGGTTCCATCTGTTTTTTGATTTTGTTTTATTTTTTTCAGTTCATTCTTCTAMAAGGGAGGGAAATATAAATTGCATGCACTTTGGCATATTTTAAATGGATAAAGATATCTTGCCAATGTCATTTTTAGCCCATTTGCACCAGTACCAGGTCCCTGTTTTTGTTTTCATCATGTCTACACCAAGGAATCTATGCTTGTTAGTTATTTTTAATAACAGCTGTCTTCTCCRTTGGCCAAGCCTTTCTTTCATTCTACAGAAAACTGTTCTCCGAAGTATAAATTCACTGAAGTCCTTTGTCAGGGTATTAGTTTTAAAATTTTCCCCTAAATTGTATTATTTCATATACTGACAGTGACAATTATCCTTAGACAAGGATTTTGTAAGTTCATGAAGAAAGCAATCCTTACTGGTTGGCATGCTTGAATTGGTAATTTATAATTCAACTGATTTGTGTTTTTACCAACCTTTTTTWAAAAAACATTTTRAAACTAAATACAAAAGCACCTCCATGCTATAATTTCARCATTGCTATGCAGTACTGGTGAAGAGCCCTAGAGAAATTAGATTTATTTTAACATCCTAATAGATAATTAAATTTAAAAATCATAGACTTAGAAGCCTGTTTTTTGAGTAATTTAATCATCTTTGATATCTTGATAAGCAGATGCATCAGATGGAAAAAAAAAAAAAGTCACTACTAAAGCACTCTGTTGAAGAGCTGGTATATTCCRTTCAGCTCTCCTTTCCTCTAGGCACTGTGGCAGTGGTAAGCTATTCAAATCCTGCCTGTTTCACAAAATAATCCACTTCTCTATATATGAATACATATGTAAATTTATTGATTTCCCACAAGCCTGCTAGTGGTACAGCACAGAAACTCTGTCTGCTCTCTGGCTTAAAATACATATCTCATCTAAAATGGTTCTGTTAACTTCTTTTTTTAGAAGTGTGAATAAAGTGCTAAGTGGTGTCACTTAGCAAGAATTTTTGCCTGACGATCAGCAGAGCTTTTATTTACCTTTGTACTTAAAATCCAACATAATATGGGGATTTGGGCTAAATATTTCCCTGGYTGACCCGATAAAGCTTTGTAACTTAATAGCAAAAGAAAGTAGGAAGATGGTTTGGGATTTTAAAATGCTGTTTTTAAAAATGGCTCCTTGATCCTGGTGAATTTGCCCGATTCTACTTTGCGCTGTGTACAAGAGGCAGCTATAGTGACTGCCGGGCAGACACGTGTACCTCGGTTGTGTTTTAAACATTCAGATACATCAGGGGGTAGAGGATTAAAGGGAAAAATACATTTTACTTGTTTAATAATCCAATCACAGAGACCAAGAGCTTCACATTTTCTGTTCTGTGTTGAAGTTTCAGAATGTGATTTTGTRGAGCTGATTTATTTAGACCTGAAGTTAAAATAATGATGTTTTAGAATAGTAACGTGGTGTAGTTCTTATATGATAAAATATTCAATTCCAGAATATTGGGATCCCAAGTATGAACACTGTATTGTATTTAGAAACATAGTCCTGTTTGTTTTAAACAAGGAGTTTGTTGGCAGATTGTCCATGGTTGAGCATGACTGAAATACCCTGTTGAAAAGTAAGCTTAGACATCTGATGGCAGAACACTTGTGTGCACTGTTTTTCTTGATTGACATGTATGGTTATTATCTCTATCACCCTTCAAAAGGGATCTATTCAGGTTAAAATTATATTTATGCTGAACTAGTAATAACTAGCAACCTCATATGGATTCCTCAGTGAAATAAGTCACTAATAATTGGCTTTTGTCACTTGCTCAAAATTCCAAAAGAATTTGATTTGTTTTCTTAAAGATTTTGCAAGCTGATTCCCAACTTAAGTTGTAAATAACACTCAGAAGATCAGCATAGGTCCACAACTTTTATGTTTTAACTAAAGGGAAATTCATAGATCTTTCTATGAGATTTTATAAAAATCAAAAATCTAAATTTTCTGACTCTGGCCCTTTTAATATTATAAGATTTTGTTCACATTCTTAGGTAAAAGCATTCAATTACTTACTATTTAGCCTTTAAATGGGAAACTCAGGTAAATGAACTGCTGACTTTTTCTAAAGTTCTTTAACTGATCAACTCAGTGGACAGAAGTATTTACCTAATCACTTTCTGTGTTTTCCAAGTGCTCTTGCTAAAAAGGACAACTAGCTATCTTTCTCCCGCCTCAATAGAATTCACGAGTAACTGCTGTGTAAATATTTTTTTAAAAAAAGCATTTTACATATTATTAACTCCAATGGCTGTTTGAATCTCATGCTGGGTAAGTTTTTTTTGGTTTTATTGTTGAAATGCAGAGTAGAAATAATTGTTTGGTGGTGGTCTGGTTGGAAAAAAATGCATCCCAGTGGAACCCCCCTCAGAACACCCTGCCTCAGAAAGCTGTTCTATCTTCTTGTTATGTGTTGGGTTTGTTTTGCTTTTGATGCAGCATTTTTAATGTCCTGGTTTTTGATACAGTAGAATCTGTTACTTACAGTGATAAAATTTTCTTAGTGTTCACCTCTCTTTCCCCGTCACGGTATTTTTCAGCTATTTTAATGACTCCTAACAGTTTACGAGGTATCTTGTGCGGSAGGCACTGCTTTCTCAGAAAAGCTGGGAAGAGATGCCTATTGCAAGTCCGTGCTCATTTCTAGGCGCCTCCTTTCCTGTATCTCAAACCTGTTTGTAGAAGGGTCTTAACAACCTGAGCCTTCCTTAGGTTACTTGGAATAAAGAAGTCCAAGTTCTTACAATACTCTATTTTATGATTTCTGATGTAAATCTTTATCTCTTAAGATGTCTCCTAGTAGGGTTTTGCTGTTGTTTATATTCTACTATAAGTGAAGTCCATTCTTTAAGTAATTTGTTTTACTCTTTAATTTAATTTTATACCAAATACCTGATTAGTCATCATGATATATTTATTTAAAATAAGCATTTATGATCCATCATTATGAACACTGTCAGCAGTATTTAGTAGCGAACAGATAAATGTCAACATAATTTCAATTCATTTTTCAAGCATAAATTAAGATTCAGTTAACATTCTTCCTTTGAATCCTGAATGTGATGATGCTATTCAAATATTTCACCTTTGGGGTAGGATCTCAATAACTTTGGATAGGGTTAACCTCAAGTTAGCAAAACAAATGAACAAAACAGCATAATTCGGGGGGAATAGACTGCCTAAAGGGTCTGTACAATTTTCTCTCTTTTCTTACTTAGAAACATGGTAAGAGAACTTGGGTGGCCTTGATCAGAACATGACCTGCTGTAAGTTTCTCAGATCAGGTCCCACTACCATGCTTCTGACACTTTCCTGCCTTCCAAATTAGTATCCACTCTTATTCTGTCTTCTGGGAGTCATCACTGATGAAGATGGCATACTTGCATTCGTTTGGGGGAGACAGGAAGATCTCCCCATGTCACAAGAAATGTTTYTTTTAATCAGAAGAATTTGACATGGGGTATCTAACTTTGGACAATTTGATTTCTTGGCCATGTCAAGTAACAGGCTCTGTGCATGGATTTTAATGTTGTTTGAATTTGCCTCCTTCTGAATACTTCTCTCCCACCTTACTTTGCTTCTTTAGTGCATATTTCTATTGGAGTTAAAACTCCATGCCTTATGTGCCACTCATCTCCTCACTGTCTATAAGTGTTCAGATTGTGTCAACTACTGGCAAAACTTAACTAAGACTGTCAAGAAAAAGGCTTGAAAGTTAACTTGTCATAATACAAATTCATGATAAAATGTCTTAATGTTATTTGGCTATGTAGTACATAGGAACAGAAAATAACTTAAATAAAGTCATTTTTGTAAGTTAACRCTGAGATTAGTCCCTTGCTCATTTTTATAAGTCATGTTTATCTTTTGCATTTCGTAAACTATTATTACTAAGTCTCCCTGTGCTCTGCCGGAAATGGGCTGCATGCATTCTTTCACTTGGTATTGAGCTAGTTTCTGTAATTGTGACTAATTATTTCCTTCCTTAATTCACTGTACTGCATCTACCTAAGCTGCCCCTGGAGTTCCATTTGGGTAATTAGTGCCTTAATATATAATCTGGAGTGCAATTGTTGGGCMTTTGCCTGACCAAATTGTACAATGGCTGTCCAGCCCAGCTTTCAGTAAATACTTTTATGGTAATGATGGTGGTTATTTAAAGGAATCAGAGTGGTTCTGCACAGCTAGGAGGCCTCCCTAATTAACCACAGTCACTCTAGGCTTATGGAAACCTTGAACAAGAAAAAATTTATGTATCACTTATGCATAAGRGAATAATGACTGTAACTTTCTTCTGTATGGCATTTGTTTTTCTGATAGTCAACTCTTTGGAGAAGGATGACTGAGATGAGGAAGGATGGCGAATGTGATGGGATATACCATGTGAATATGTGTATCAGACCCTTAGAAGAGATTAGATGAAACTGGAGAACTTTGGGGGACAAGCTGGGAATATAGTAGATTTGAGAGAGTTGGTGATTTCAGTTCATTGTGTACACAATGCATATAGACTTATTTTTTCAGTCCTTTAAGGAATTAATTTCATTTCAACTCCTTACACTTGAGACATATACCAATTTTTAAAAAATTATTTGGTTCAGTTTTTTTGTTTTTGAGGGGTACCAGGGATTGATCTCAGGGGYACTTGATCAYTGAGCCACAYCCCCAGCCCTATTTTGTATTTTATTTAGAGACAGGGWCTCACTGAGTTGTTTGGCACCTTGCTTTTGCTGAGGCTGGCTTTGAACTTGAAATCATCCTGCCTCGGCCTCCAAAGCCACAGGGATTACAGGCGTGTGCCACCATGCCCAGCTTGGTTCAGTTCTTATTATAAGTCTCAGGTAATATAAGTGTTGAGAAACATGACAGAAAAGAAGTAACCTGTAAGCTTTGCATCTTATA